TGATTTCATCAGTACTACTGTAGAGATTTCGTTTGTGCCCTTTTTTGCCTCCCCCTCATGCCATGTATAACAATACCCCTTAAGCGTTTGTAGTTCTAAACCAGTTAAATTATAAACATTTAATTTTCTTAAATAGTACGCAGACCCTACATTTAGTTTTGGTGTGTTTAGAACCTGTTGAAGATCAAAAACAGCTGTAATGCAATCACCTTTCTTTGCTTTATCATTTTCTTTTTCCTCTCTGGCCTGTTTCTTTCTTCTCGTATGATTTTCTATCTCTATGTCACCAGTAGGCTCAGTAGAACCGGACGCTTTCTTTGTCATGTACTTACTACATAGATCGCAGGCATCCTTGGTTGGTTTATGAAACCCTAAATTAAAATTAGTATTAAAAATAAATCTATACATAGATTCTGGTACTTGGGATTCTTCCGATACTTGTGAGCTTTATTTATATAACCTAAGATTATTTTGATATTGAGAAAAAGATCCAAATACTGTCGCTTTGACGTAGCTCGACAATAATGACTGTCCACTCTCGGAAAACTGTTTCATGTGTTTTTTAACGTCTTCAATTACATGTTCTGGTGTTTTATTTGCTGGTGCTTTTGGTGGAGTATTTATGGCCATGCCCGATTCTGATCGATCTAAGTTGTACTTAATCATATAGTCTGATATATCTAGAGTGTTTTAAAAAAACACTTTACAAACGCGTTCATCTGCGTCTCCTTAAGGTAAATAGTAATAAATTGTATTCTGCCGTCTACTGTTATCACACCCTGTCATCCGTCGTTTCTTTTTTAATCGTTTGGCATAAGCCACAACAAAGTCGCGCCTTCAACTATCAAAAATTTTATTTCAATCTTCATTGGTGTATTTTTGGAAGCATTTTAATTTACAGGACTCTTTACATGGTACACCAATATGCCGAGGGTCACCGTGCTTACCTTTTTTCCCAGTATTAAAATCATGTTTTCTTTCCAATGTAGAGGGGTCTCTGCTTCTTTTTCTAGTCTTTGTTTTAGATTCGTCGATGATTTTTGGACATGTTGTTGTAGTAGGCATATATGTATCGTTGGTACAATTACTATCAGTATCTAGAGAAATGTCTGGATTCTGGTCACTATCATTAAAGGCAGAGGCATCATCACTGGAATCTACAATAAAAAAAATTTAAAATATAGTGCTAATAATGTAATAATAATAGTAGGTATTTGTATATGTAGGATGTTAAAATATATGTAGGATGTTAAAATGTTCAGAGTCGTGTAATACTAATTGAACTAGTGTTACATATGTAATTAGTATTGAATTCTAGGAATTTCAACAGACAGACTAGTGATTAAAATAAGACAGGCCAGGGATTTTGATAAAGGGTGGTCAGAGATTTTTATAAAGGAAGGTCAAAGATTTTGATAAAGGGTGGGGGGGGATTTTAATAAAGAGAGGGGAGGGTCAGGGATTTTTTATAAACAGGGGTAGGGCTCAACTAAACTCTGAGTGAGATTTTAATAAAGGGAGGCCAGAGATTTTAACTATGAAAGGCCAGACATTTTGATTAGGAGGGGAGGGGGGAATCAGAGATTATTTTTTTATGGAGGCCAGCGGGTTTAGTAACTTGAGGTGGGGGGGGGGGGGGGTATTTCAAAAAGGCATGCTACAGAACCCAAACACATAATATTGCGACTAACTCACCATCCAGTATTGCTGAAATAACATCTGCAGCAGAAAGTCTAGGAGGAGTAGGATCTAAATTTCTTCTTGTTGAATCCATTTTGGTTTTTGATGCCACTGGTTACCATAGAAATGGTTCGATGATGTCAGGAATCTTGATGGTGTCACAAATTTATGACGTCATGGTTACTATGGACATCATACTGTTGTTGACATTGGTTAGTAATGTAACTTAAAGTAACTTACAATTATTTTGCTCCAACCATGTTACTTACTATGGTTTTGTTCCAAATGTGTCAGATACGATTATATTGTTCCAAAGAATTAAAAAAAATGTCACTTACGAAATTTCTTAATTGTTTTTATTTTCAAAAATATAAAAGACTGTTATCATTTAGCATCATAATACAAAAAAACAACAAAGTTTAGCATGGAAATTGAAATAAAACATATTTTCAAAATTTTGTCACTTACGATGTTTTTGCTCTAACCCAGCGGTATGACCAATGCATCTTTTCTTACTACATGTACATATCTTAGTAGCCTTGTGATCGTCTAGAATTTGTCTCTAGCTGTTTTTGCTTCTGCTTCACTATGTGTATTTACTTCTTACTGTTTTCTTAAGACGTTTGTCTTCTCAGTAGTTATAACAATGCAACTGTTCATTTTTTTAATTTTATATATCATAGCTGCTTACATATGGTTCAATGCATACTAGAATAAAGTCATTCTCTCTCTCTCTCTCTCTCTCTCTCTCTCTCTCCCACAAACCTCATCCAGTCAGACATCTTTTCCCCTTCTGGAATCAAGCTGCTGTCCAGGAACTCAGATGGTAATCTCTCCGGAATCTAATGAAAATCTGGCTTAAAAGTTTGCCATGATTTCTTTTATAGGACCTATGAACAACACGCAGAAACTAGTATGTTCATGACCCTTAACCTGTGCAATTACATGATTGATTGGTCCCTTTAACCAAATGATGCAATAGGTAAATTTCCAATCACATGTAATTTTGCTGACACAGAAACAGCTATGTTTTTGTTCTATAACTCTTTTTATGTGTCATTCATTCACTAAGTTTATTTTTAAAAGTACATACTACATATACATGTATGTGAATCTACTAACTGCCAAAGATATTAATTAATGAAATATAATGCCATCATTAATTTCAAAAGCAAAAATTCTACAAAAACTGTTTCAATGTCTAGCAATCATGAACATTTTTTTTTAGTTTTCTTGATGTTTCCTCTTTGGATGCTAGACTTGAGCTGATGGACGGGGCATATTACCTTCCCTGTATATACAAAGAGTTCGTAACAGCGTAGAAGTATGTGGCTAAGAGCTTAGTTCCAGTCTGGCAACAACGTGGTTGAAGGTGGTGGGGACGAGACTGTAAATCAAATACTTGTTAAGAAGCCCTGGTGGCATAGATTATGTTATCATCTGACTTCCAAGCTGAATGTGGAATGCTGTTGCGTTGGAAACATAAAGTATGTCGCCACTTATACAATTGTGGTCAATTGATAATATAATCTATGTCACGAAGGTTTCTTATAGCAAGTATTACTATTTCATTTGCAGTCCTTGTTTGAATTTCTGTGTATACTGCTTTATATTTAATATCTAATATTTCCGTTCTACTTTTTAATTTATTAATTACCTTTTCAAAAGTTGTAAGTCTCACATTTTTCATCATCGTTTATATTGTATCTATAACTGACAAACAACATAACTGGAATCCAACTACTTCAACGCAATCGATCAAGTAAATGTGCAATTTTCCTGGAAAATCGTTATTAGCTCAGTGGTCAACTCGGATGGGGAAATTTCATGATACGTGCTACAAGCTAATACATAGCAGAATTGGATTCAGTAGGACGTTTTCTAAACACATTACTCAGTAATGTGTTTAGAAAACGTCCTGTCACAAACGGTGGCCATCTTGGAAATATGCTGAATGGGTGAATATACCAACGGTAATATTGATATTTGCAATTAAATGTAATTGGCTATTATTACATGTTTTTTTTTTAAATTACATTTCCATTACTTTTGAAATCTTCCATTACTCATTACTTTAAAATGTGTAATGATTACATTCCATTATTATTGATTATTGCTCTACACAAACAATTTGTTATTGTTCTTTTTTTCAGAAATCAAATTCCACCCCATCTTCACCAACTACCTTTAGAAAGAATATGCTTGGTGGTTTTGTTTACAAGATATCGGCTGTAACACCTCCCCCCAAACAGACCACCTCCACTGTTTAAAGATGGTGCACATCAAATAGTCAATGTCAAGTATATTCCTCAAAGACCAGTACCCAATTCCTGGATCTCAACAAGAAAACATATTTGTCCAAGTTCAACTGAAATCTGTACCAGTTCCAGTCTGTGTTCATAATGTGTCACAAAAAACTGAATAAGCTCTTCCTGAATCCCCAGCTTTAAGTTAAATTAGTTCCCCCATTCGGAAGAGAGAAAGACCTAGTCGCCCGCCACCCCCAGTCTTCAAATATATTTTTTTAAATTTTTACTCTTCAAGTGTGATAAAATTTTGTTCTTCGAACTTATCGTGCAATTCTTCAGTTGCTTTGTCATTTGATTGCTAAGGGTAATTTTAATCTGCAGTAGTTGAATATAAGTGAAATAGGGTGAGGTTATTTTAAGTTCTGATTGCTTGTGGATGCTCTATATGATAAATTTACAGAGAGAGAGGGGGGGGGGGGCACTCGACACAAACCAGGTCATTTCAGGACTAACATATGGTTCAATTTTATTTCAATAATTCGTTTGCGCGTAGGGGTCTTTAGCAGTGGAAGGAAACTGGAGGTCCTGGAGCTACTTCTTGTCACGTACCACCGGGGAATCAAAACCGTGCCAGTTGACTCAATGACAGACCTAACCATTTGACCATCCCCCCCCCTCCCATTTACACACAGTGATTCCATTTTACTGTGTTTTGACTTTAAGATGTCTTGTGGAGGCCATCCAACCCACCATTTCCACACAGTGATTCCATTTTGCTGTGTTATCATTTTAAAATATCTTGTGGAGGCCCTAGGGGCTAACGTTAACATTCAACGACGTGACTTGCACATGAAACAAGGAAGTCTATTACAGGAATAAGCCTATCAAAGTTAAATTATTTCCAAAAATTACTTCACAGGTTGTTGTAGAAGATCAATTTTTAGTGTCTTGTAAATGTGCCAGTTAACTTAAAATAATACAATGGGACAGCGGTCTGTTTGGGTGACTTAGCTACTCGTGGATGTATGTTTCATTGCCTGGCAACCTATCATTTGTACAAACATACACACATTATAATTTTGATATTTTATTGCCAGGCTGTTAGTTTCTGCCAGGTTACCACAAACTCAGCTTCATTTACTTGTCCATTATCTAAAACAATACAAAACTCTGAATCAGCTGATATAACAGAAAGATTTTACTTTAAACTGTGTGATTTAATAAAATATTTGGACTAGAACATATTCAAACTAATTTATCTATCAACAGGTTGCTTCACATCCCTCCTGATACATTTTAATCTCAAGAAACTTCCCCAAGCCATAAAAGTCTATTTTAAGCAGCCTTGTTTTTCACATGACTTGACTGGGGTGGATCAATTGTTAGCTAGTATTTATCATTAATTTCTTTCCATATACCATAAATATCGAAGCCAGAGTAAATTCTAGGATTAATCCTCTGTCCATTTCTTTTCCCACCGTTTTCAGTTCAGTATTTTTCTAATAAGATAAGGTTGTCTCTAATTTCCATATAATATCAAGATTGCCATATTTTTATTGGAAATAACTATCTGATAAATACTTTGATGGGAATGTATCTTTAATTAGGTATACGAATAGAATGAATGACACAAAATTTGGTTGAAAGCTTTATAAATAAATATAAAACAATATATGCATACTTTTGTCATTTAAAAATACTCTAGCACTTTTAGTTGGGGGATTTGGGAGATTTATTTAATCATTGTTCTTTTGCTTTAAAATGTTTTTATACGCCCACATTTTTTTATTTCTGTATGGTTAGTAAACTCAGGTATGGGAATCCTGCCATCAAACTAGAACCAAACATAGAAATTAAATGGAATGGGGTTTTACATCCTACTGTTCGGCTCAAATTGCCATGAAGTGTAATATGGGGGAAATTTAGCCGGTACAGCTTCCTGTGGCCTACTCTTTATTTCACATTCCAACTGTCAACGTGTACACAGGACCTACCACATAACTAGGTATTGTTCCTTGTCAGACCCCCCCCCCCCCCATCCCGCATGGTGATTTAACCCAACGGAGGAGTTACCAATTCTATATAGGGTTTTTTTTATACAGCCACATTTTCATGTGGACGTATATTGTCATCGCCCCTGTTTGTGGACAGTCTACAGGTCACATTTTTTTACGAAACTTGGAATGTGTACAGTTTATCTCCCAAACATAGGCCTAAAAGCAGACGGGTAAAGTAAAAAAAAAAGAATTCATCTGGTTGGCAAAATAAAGTAACCGAAATCTAATAAAACACTAATTTTACTTTTCTTTTTATTATATATCACGAATTTGTACTAAATTGCCTATGGATTAAGACATTTTGTCTGCAGCCATTCTACTTGGTGCGACATTTTTCGGGCAACGATTATTTTGTGAATGCAGCTGCAACACTGCGATTGGATGGTTGGAATTCAGGTCTGCATAGAGTGGGATTTCGGTTACAAAATCATTAGAGTTGCTTACCACACGGACTAGAGACGCAGAAAAACGAATTCGCGGTAGTTAAATTTTCAAAATTTTCTCGGGGAGGGCGAAGCACCCCTACCCCGGAACGATTGATTGGTTGATGGGGATTCAGGTCAGCCACCAAAGTTAGGCTATATTGGACCACACTGAAGTTTAGTATTCACAGACTGAAATAGCAGGAAAAGGTGTTTGCAGCAGTTCAAATTTCTCCCGACAGTCCTGTCTCCTTGGACTAAACGATTGATTGGAATTCAAGTCGGTCATTTTAATTAGGTTAAATTAGACCACCTTGAAGTTGCTGTATTCAGTGGTTGGAATAGTCAAATTTTCGTAAATTTTCTTGTGCGTGTGTGGGGGTGGGGGGATTATCACCGTTACACCGTAATGACGGTCAAGTTTGAATTTCGTGAAATTTAGACTGAAACTTCCCGACAAAATGGACGCTCTTTGTATGCAAAAATAGTGTGTGAAAGTATGGAATATTAAGGTAGTGGACACTCTAGAGGTCATAATTCTGATCCGATTTTGATGACGCTTAAAATGTTTGTATACATCCCAAAGATCTTGGTTCTTTTCGATATTCGTGCATATCAGAACGTAAACTTCCTGGATTATGGCCCCTGATTGTAAGAAAAATCGCCTTTTTAGCCTCTAGTCCCTCTAGAGATCACAATTTTTATCCAATTTACAAAAACGTTTGAATATATCATAGTTACGCCATAATGATGGTTGATTTCGAAATTTGTGAAAATCGGACCAAAACTGCCCAAAAAAATGGCCGCTCCTTGTACGCAGTTAGTGTAAAAGTATGTAATACAAAAGTTGTTGACCCTGTATTCAGATTTTGTGAAACTTAAAATATATGTTTATATCCAAAAAAATCGCGGCTCCTTTCGATATTCTCGTCTTTCGGAACGTAGCGTCTTGGATTATGGTCCATGAGTTTGTGTCCCCTCTAAAATTCACAATTTTAAAAACCGTTTAAATATATCACTGTTACTCCCTAATGATGGATAAGTTAAAATTTCATAAAATCAGACCAAAGTCACAATTTTTATGCAAATTTGCTGATTAAAATATATGGTTATATCCAAAAGATCTTTGTTCTTTTCAATATTTTCGCCAATCGGACCGTGATTTCCTGGATTATGGATTATCACAAATGTTTATCACCATTACACCATAATGACGGTTGAGTTCGAATTTCGTGAAACTCGGACTGAAACTGTCCTACAAAATGGCCGCTCCTTGTACGCAAAAAGAGTAAAAGTATGTAATACCAAGGTTGTGGACCCTCTAGATGTCATAATTGTTATCCGATTTCAATGAAACTTAAAATATATGTTTATATCCCAAAGATCTGGTTTCCTTTCGATACTTGCCTGTATCTTAACTTCCTGGATTATGGCCCCTGATTGTACGTAGAATCTCTTTTGTATGCTGTCGCATACGGCGTGTCTTGCATGGCAACCGCTTATTATTATTGTCATTATCTATTGCACTTTACAATTTGTATACCTTCCCCTCTCACAAATATTAATAATGGCAAGAGTGAAGCATTGACTATATTTGAACCTGGGAATAAGTGGTGGTTTTACCACCATCGTAGACCTTGAAATTTATATTTGTGATAAAGTAGTACACTTATAGACCAAATAACTTACTATCTGAATCAAACCAAGTGAATATGAATGGTAGATCTGGGGAGTGAGAGATGACCCCATCTTTATTCACATCAAGATTATAAAACAGATATACAGCTTCTGGTGGGGTACCAAGGTTTTCTATAGCCCAGTAATTTACAAACTCCTTACTTTCTACTTTATCATCACCTATAACACAATTACAAAATCAGAGTGATTTAATTTGAAACATTATACACACACTGGAAACACCATACAAGCATGGTGATCAATTTGAAATATCACATAATCACAGTGACCACTTTGAAACATTTTACAAACAATATTGTGCTCTTTATCGGATTCTACAACATCATAGTATGATACTGATCCCTTTATATCAAACGAACACAATGATCACTTCACAACATCATACAAACACTGTGAGTCCGTGGCAGCATCATACAAACACTGTGGGCCATTGACAGCATCATACAAACAAAGTTAATCAGTTTTTATTACTTATCTGCTAGATTATCTCTTGCATATACATGTAAACTACCTGCTAGTAGCAATGCTCCCATATTAAATGATCTATTATCCTGTTTCTATGAAACGTATAAATTTGAGATTTTTGTTGGTTGGGATGATGCAGCTGATGTAATTAAATGTTTTATTCGAGTTCAAACATGCGCCACAGTCACCATTAACACACCAAATTTTCAAAATGTTCTCGCCCCAAAACCATATATACTACGTCGGTCACTATAAGTCTGCCACTGCTTCCATATATATTTATTATTTCAGTTCATGTTAACTCTGTCCTTAAGAACTACCGTCTTTATTAGCCCAGTCGGTGCAGAAAAGTAGGGCGTTATGCCCAATTACATTTCTTTAACTACTTACCATTCAAGTCAAAACGTTTAAAAATTCCCTCAAAATCCTGAATGCTCAGAGAAGAATCTTTATCCATGTCGACCTGGACGAACAGTTTTCTGACGTTGACATTATCTGCTATATGACCAGTTGGGTAACACGACCTGACCATTATAAAACTCTAAAAGCTTTTACAACTAAAAATTTATCGTACATGATATTCAGATTTTTAATCATGTTAAAAAAAAGTTTGGATTTTTTTTATTAACTTGATTTTAAAATATTAACTTACCCAAAGCCGATTAGAGCAACCAAAAATAACAATTGTAGCATTCTGAAAGAAATTAACATGATGTCACGAAGTTAAATATTACATGTATATAAATATCCAAAATCTTTGAACTTGTCTAAGCGTGGCATTAACATGGGTGTCTTGTTCTATGTGGCATGCATCCTCTGTATCTATGGGCTCCGTCTTTGCAGATTATACCTTGAATTAAACCTTTCGAGATTTCTGAATTGTTTTCGTGTAATACCAAATGGAGCCGAATGATTTTTCACTGACCAATCAAGGAAGGGCAGTAGTGGATTTAATTTATTCTTTATCACATGAATGATACATTAACCAAATCAAGTCAAGGCGCACATTCTGTGTATTGTCACAGGGTAAACATATATTCATTCTGTGCTATGGAATTGTTTTGTAATCAATCGAATAGTACCAGCTAGATATATCATTAGCTAATCACAGTCCAGCCTTCGATTGTGAACAATTACATGTATGTAAATTTGTCATTCCATACAGCTGGAGATCCAGATCAACCCAAACAATCAGTCAGATTCAAACAAAGAAAGCAAACATCCACCATCTCACTGTCTAGACTAGTCAATTTATGATTAAAAAAAAGGGGGTCAACCCCTAACAAATTGCAAAAAAAGGTTTTTAATGGTTAATTAAATTTGATTGGTTACTTTTCAGTTAATCAATACTGTCCAATTTCGATTACATCAACAATTACATTATTAAGAGTTTTACTCATTTTTTTCCAATGAACATTGTGTCAATTTTTGATAACACCAGGGTGGCTAAATTCACATGTACACTATATATCCTTTGATCTGTCAGTTTATTGGGCCAATAAAAATAAACAACCAGGTATTTTAACTATACAGACAACTTAACACCAATTAACATTCAAGTCTGTATGGCAATTGTCCGAGTAAATAAACGTGAAAATAACCAGTTTGGTCTACCGTGATTTATAAGACATGCATATGGTTTCAATGCTTTTACTGTTTTACATATTTTAAATGATCATGAAGTCTCGCTTGTGTGCCCTCATTTAATAAATCAGTTGATTAATTAGTATTCACACCCTTCCAGTTAAGAACAGCATGTAATTTTCGGGATTCGAGTTAAGCCTTTTATTACTTTTCTTAAACTTGTTGACTCCCGAATTCAGACTTTGTATGGAGTTTATTTTTAAAAGAAAACAAATTACTTGTGTTAATGATATGAAAGAGCGCAAGATTTTAGAAATCTGCACAAGTTTGTGTTAATGCAATCCAAAACTACACAAACTTGTGTAGATTAGTTTTAACACAAGTACTTGATCCAACACAAGTTTTTTTTTCAGTGAAACGGTTCTGCCTGAGATTGAGAGCCATCAACTTTAGCCGCAAAGCCGACTCCAGTGGGGGCCTGTTCGGCTACGACTCGACGGTTCTTGAAACTCAGCCGGTTAATTTCAAAGCAAAGACTGCCTCCCCACATAACAATATGATGTTAAATTTACGTTACATTTACGTAAAAATGGTCAGTCAGTTTACCATCATTTTGCTCATCTTTTTAACGATAATTTTACGTCAGGAAATGACGTTAATCTAACGTAAAGTTTACGTCATTTTTACGTTATATTTACGTCATTTTCTGACGTAAATCTAACGTAAAGTTTACGTCATTTTCTGACGTAAATCTAACGTAAATTTTGCGTAAAGTTTACGTCACTTATGTTAGATTTACGCCAGAAAATGACGTAAACTTTACGTTAGATTTACGTCAGAAAATGACGTAAATATGACGTAAAAATGACGTAAACTCTACATTAGATTAACGTCATTTCCTGACGTTAAATTTTCGTTAAAAGGATGAGCAAAATGATGGAAATCTAACCGACCATTTTAACGTAAATCTAACATTAAATAAACATCATTTTCGGATGCAATTCTAATGTCAAATGAGCAATTAAAACCTTTAATATAAGGTTGTAATTGTAAAATTCAGTCAACCAATAACCAAATCTTCAACCATATGAGGTGCTAAAGACTCCTGGCGCAAACAATTATTGAACTGAAACTGAATCGTAGGCCCCATTTCTCTCTATCTATTTCGTCCTCGAGGTTTCGGTGGTCAAACGGTTAACGCATGTTCGTTGCATCATAAGTTCCGTCATTGAATTAAGAGAGAGAGAGAGAAATCGGGTTTAACGTCCACTCAACACAAATAAGGTCATTTCGGGACTAACACATGGTTCAATTTTTTATTTCAATAATTCGCTTGCGCGTAGGGGCCTTTAGCAGTGGGAGTAAACCGGAGGACCCGGAGAAAACCCACGAGGTTGGACAGGCGACCCTACTCCTTGTCACATATTGAAATAAAACTAAACCACATGTTAGTCCCAAAATGACCTAGTGTGATTCGAGTGGAAGTTAATCCCCATTTCTCTCTATACATGTATTTATCAATAACCATTCAGAATTCTAAATGTAATTACAACCAAACGCCAAAAAACCAGTACAACTTACATAATTATTCAACAAAATATACTACAAGTATCTATACTTTATTCAAAAAATACATATATAATGTAATAAAATACAAAAGTAGACATTTAAATTGTAACAGTTTATCCACAGCATTAAGTTGGTGACAATTTAGGAAATGGTCTTCGAGAAAAACTTTGAAAATGTGGAAATACGCCAACACATTCAGCAGTATATCAGAAAGGAAAACTGTGACGTTGACCAAATTTGATAAAAAAAACCAAAAAAAACCCCTACGGCCTCTATCACGTTTGCTAAAGGTTTTCGAACTAGGTGGGATAATACTGGAAAGGAAATTTGTGGAATACTGAATATCTATGCTTCACACCAACTTTGAAACAAATGTGAATAAATTATAGGGCAGTGTTCACAGGTTTTGCAGCCAATCTGCGGGGGTGGGGACAAAATTTGAAAAAGATACATTAACGATACTTTCTGTAAGATTTAGATAAAGAGCTGACCATTCTTGCTATGATTGTTCAAAAATAAATAATATACATGTAAAATGAAAATTTCATTCAAATTACTTCATTCTGAGCCAAGTTATCACAGTTTCTAGTTTCGACATGATGTGTGCATTGTGGTAATGAGGACACAGGTATATTCGAGACTTGGCCTCACTTTCCCATTTTTTAATTAAATTTTTAAATTGCAGGCCAGTTAAAATCTTGAGTATCCAATGCCTTCATATTGCATACTTTTACACATTTTGTCAGGCAGTTTCATTTTGATTTTCCCTAAATTCGAATTCAACCTTGATTATGCGATTTTTCGAACAATCAGGAGCCATAATCGAGGAAGTTACGTTCGGATATGCGCGATTATGAAAAGGAACCAAGATCTTAGTGTGTAATGGTTATATATACACATGGTTTTTTTTTATAAATCGAATAAAAATTGTTACCTCTACAGGGACCACAAGCTAAAAACGGATGGACGTCTGGACGGACAGGGGCTACGACAATATACGTCCACATGAAAATGTGGGCGTATAAAAATTGTGGCCTCTATAGAGACCACAAGCTAAAAACGGGTGGACGTCCAGACGGACAAGGGCTACGACAATATACGTCCACATGAAAATGTGGGCGTATAAAAATTGTGACCTCTATAGGGTCCACAAGCTAAAAACTTGATTTTTCGTACAATCAGGGACCATAATCCAAGAAGTTACGGTCAGATACATGCCAATATCGAAAGCAACCAAGATCCTTTGGAGATAAACCTATATTTCAAGTTTCGTCAAAATCGGATAAGAATTGTGACCTGTAGAGTGTCCACAAACAATTGTGTACAGACGTCTGGACGGACCGGGGCTACCACAATATACGTCCACATGAAAATGTGGGCGTATAAAAATTTTGACCTCTATAGGGTCCACAAGCTTAAAACATGACTTTCAGTACAATCAGGGGCCATAATCCATGAAGTTACGGTCCCACAAACAATTGTGGACGTTCGGACGGACAGGGGCTACAAAAATATACGTCTACATGAAAATGTTAGCGTATAAAAAACTGTCACCTTCACAATCACAAACTAATTTGGACAAACAAACAGTCAGGGCAACGATATAATACCCCAATATTGAAATAAGGTATATACTTAATTACACCAATTTTACATGTGTGATAGAATTTGTTAAACACATTACAAATATAATTTTAACACAGATTTTTGCTATTATTGATCTATCACAAAAATTTGAAGAATTTGTAAGGGTTTAAAAAGTTTCCCCGTATACTATGGTGGTATATTAGATTCAAAATTCTAACATGCTATCGTCTAATTTCTTACTTCTACTCTTGTAATTTCTAACTTCCATTCATGTAATTTCTAAATTAAGACAATGTATAATTCAACTTCTTTTTTTGTTCAGTGTAAATTTTAATTGTTTCATCTTATTTCTATTATTAAGGCGAAAAATGGCTAGTCACTTTACATGTTAAGCATGAATGGTAAACAAATTTAGAATTTTGATTTCTACCTAGCAACCATCATTATGACGTCGTTTGGTGTCGCCACCGTTCGCTCAATTTGGCGATTGAGCACCTGATCGGGACCATTCTGTTGATACAAACGACTCGCTCTTAGTCCAGTTGAATGGTTTGGTGGAGTGCTAAAATTGAAAACAACTTCGAGAGAGAGAGAGCGAGAGAGAGAGAGTCTGATGGGGTTAAACGTCCACTCAACACAAACTACTTTCAGGTTCGGTATTAACATGGTTCAATTTTATTTCAATAATTCGCTTGCGCGTAGGGGTGTTTAGCAATGGGAGGAAACCGGAGGACCCGGAGAAAACCCACTAGGTTGGACAGGCGACCCTATTCCTTGTCACGTACAACCGGGGAATCGAAACCACACCAGTTGACTCAATGACATACCTTATGGTACAGCGCGCACGTGCTAACCTTTCGGCCATCCAACCCCACAAACAACATTGAACGTGATATCTATGTATGGTTTGCAAATACGATTTCAAATACGGTCGGTAAGACGCTGGCTCACTAG